CCCCAGAAAACACGTGGAATGGGTGGAGTGCAGCAAGAAATGGGTTGGTTTAAATCTCGGGCAGGCTACTGCTTTGAGAATTAGTAATCACAGATCAAGAGTTTGACGCCGTAAGTTTGGAAAACAGTATGAGATTTGTAACAAAGCCTCTTTTCAAAAAACAACTGATGTAAGAAAATACGTTAGTATTTAAGATATTCAGAAAATGGTTGGCCTTGATTTCTGTTAGTGTTGAAACAAGGATTTTTCTAGATAATAAGGGTTTTATTGCCAGGAGCTTACTGAAAAGACTAATTTGAACTACATTTCTTCTCTGTAGGGTGTCCTGTAGTTATGGAGTGCAACAGGAAAAAATGTGAGTCGATTCATTGATGCTTCCTGAGAGTTAAAATTACTTTTTAAGTGCTTGACTATATTTGTTGGATTAAAAGAAAAATCTCAATTGGTGCCATTTTATATGCCTGAAATCTGTAACAAGCTGATGGGTAAAATACATATATTGTAAAAACATTGTTAGAAATAAAAATGTGGAAACTAATTTTTAAAGCAGGTTGACTTTAACTTACAAGTTTAAGCTTTTCACTTAAATTCTTAAAATTGAGAATGGACCTAGAACAGCTTAAAAATGTAGACCTTTACCCCTTCTTTTAGCTTTCTGCTTGTTGGACAGAAAATAAAAAGACATTAGTAAACATGACATTAGCAAACATCTTGGATTTGTTTTTAGAATTACATACAATGTGGAAAATTCCACTTTGGAAATGGATGAGAAAGTTTCTTAAAACATGCAAAGTAAGTCATGAACAGTTGTCTTGTACTCCTTGCTAAATCATGCCTCCGGATAGTACATTTTGACTTCCAAAGCTTGTATAATCTGATTGTCATGATTGTCTGGATTCTTTCCATGTAGTTTCCTGTGCGGGGTTTACTGGGTTCCTGACGTGGACAGTACTTACACAGATCATTAATTTGGGTTGTAATGTGTATATCATGGAACATCTGACTAGTCTATTTAATTTCCTTGTATTTTAGTCACATAATTGGATGTGGGATTCATATAATAAACAGTAGTTGTGGGGTATTGGTAATCTTTAGATGATTTCCAACTATATCCAAAGCTTCATCTTAAATGTTAGCATTTATGGAGCACCTACCACATGCCAGACCTGGCAGTCATTCTGCTGCTCTGATGAACTTGTGCCTGCCCCCAGAGCTCCACCTCTTACTGCCTAACCAAGTGGTCAGATAGAACTGACGCCAGAGATGTGAAAAGGTAAAATAATGTGCATTGTGGAATGGAGCTTTTCAACTTGGATTTTATGACATCTGTAACTTTGCAATATTTTATTGCTACATTATGTATTTTTAATGTAAATGATCAAGGTAAAATGTAAACCTTATGATGATGACAGAGTAGGAACTTTTTTACTTGTCAATCTCCCATATCCAGATCGATGCCTGTTTTACAGTGCGTGCCTAGTAACGATTTGATCAATGAATTAGCAAGTCTGCATTTCCTAGCACAAATGCAATTTTGTGGGTTTTTTTTTTTTTAATAATTAAGATCTATTTATTTTTTATTGGAAAGATAGATTTACAGAGAGAAGGAGAAACAGAAAGATCTTCCATCTCTAGTTCACTCCCCAAATGGCCGCAATGGCCGCAATAGCTGGTGCCTGGCTGATTTTAAGGCAAGAACCAGGAGCCTCCTCCAGGTCTCCCAGGCAGGTACAGGATCCCAAGGTGTTGACCCATAACCCACTGCTTTCTCAGGCCCAGGGATGGGAAGTGGAGCAGCCGGAACACAAGCTGTCATCCTTATGGAATTCCAGAGCTTACAAGGAGAAGATTAGCCAACTGAGCTATCATGCCAGGCCCACAGTTTTTTATTGGCGTTCATCATAAAATATGATCAAAAGAACAGAATTGCTACCATTTTTTGCACTCAGAAATATACTGTTATAAAATATGTTTCTTTGCAGATATCTTTTCTTTGAGTATAGTAAAAACTGAAGTGCCAGCAAGTGGAGTGTTTTTGTTTTGTCTTGTTTAACAAGAAGCATAGAGATTTTGTTTTTAAACTGGCAACATATAGGAATAATATTCCATATATGGAGATTTTACTTTTTAAAAAAGGCTGAAAAAATCCTTACTAAGTATTTGTGAGTATCTGAAAATTTATAAATGTTACAAAGAATATGGGCCTGGCGCAATGGCGCAGTGGTTAAAGTCCTCGCCTTGCACGCCCGGGATCCCACATGGGCGCCGGTTCTAATCCCGGCAGCCCCACTTCCCATCCAGCTCCCTGCCTGTGGCCCGGGAAAGCAGTCGAGGACGGCTCAAAGCTTTGGGACCCTGCACCCGCGTGGGAGACCCGGAAGAGGCTCCTGGCTTCGGATCGGCATAGCATCGGCCGTTGCGCTCACTTGGGAAGTGAATCATCAGACGGAAGATCTTCCTCGCTGTCTTGTCTCTCCTCTCTGTATATCTGCCTTTCCAATAAAAATAAATCTTTAAAAAAAAATGTTACAAAGAATAGTCAAAGTTCATGAGTTATATAAATAAGGCATAATTAAAAGCTACTTTGAAAATTATGCTAATGGGCAGAAAAATTTTGTTAAAGTTTTTGAAGTATGCAAGTTAAGATAATGTAATTAGATATACCATCTCAATAGTAGATATGAAGAGGTCAGTGCTTTCAGTTAGGACCAGAAAGGAGGTGGACATTATTATAGAGCGGTGGACTGTTCACTGTGGACAAAGAAGAGTCAGCTACGTAAGGTATCATTAGCACAGGAGTTGGGGAAATCAACAGCAACAACAAAGGGTAAAGCATTTGGACACACTGCGGTAAGACATCCACGCCATATCCTTTGAGCCAGGTTTTATTAGTTCTAAATGTGGGCATTTGGGGTATGAATCAATGGATAAGATATCTCTTAATAAATAATTTTTTTTTAAAGGCAGTACATTTTGCTTCCTCTCTTTACTGATAGCTTACACTGGGATGGTACTACTGTCAAATAACAATTTCGATACATTACTATTAGCTGAAGTCCATACCTTCTTAAGGTTTCTGTTTTTTTTTTTTTTTTTCTTTCCCAGGTTTCTATCTAGGATATAATTACATTAGGGGTTAAGTATCCTCAGAATCCCCTTGTTTCTTGATGACCTTGATAGTTGCTAAGATCATCAAGTTCTCCATAGACTAAGCGTGTCTTGAGGGCAGATTGTGTCTTACTCTCACACCTCTGCTGTGATGCAGTTACAAGCTCTTGGAACTTTACTTTTGAAATTAATATATTCCCAAAGTGACCCAAGACAGTCACATGAAGGTACAAATTCAGTACCAATTAGATTGTATCTGGAAAATCTTGTAAACATCTGAATTAAGAGTATTGATAAACCTAAGCTTGGGCACAAGCTGTGATAGACCCAGAAATGGCCATTTGTGGGAAGTCACTGAAGGAACTAGTGAGATTTTCATGTGGAGATTGATTAGAAGGTGAAACATCTGTCTTTCTAAATATGAGAGGGTGTCATGCTATGGCAAGGGCAGAATCAATGGTCAAAGCTTTTTGCACTTAATCAGTGAATATAGGCCAGAATGTCAAAACCAGAGTGTTTTGAGAAAGTTTCTATCACCCAAGGCCTCTTAGACGAGAAATGGAACGGAAGTAATCCACAGACATGGTTGTAACCAGAGGGGATGACTTCTACCCCATCTTAAACTTCCTAGTTTCTGTGGCACTAACATTAACAGCACGGTACCTAGAGGCTAAATCCCTGCCTTGCATAAGCGGGGATCCAATATGGGGTGCCAATTAGTGTCCTGGCTGTTCAACTTCCCACCCAGCTCCCTGCTTATGTCCTGAAAAGCAGTAGAGGGTGGCCCAAAACCTTGGGACCCTGCACCCACGTGGGAGATCTGGAGGAGGTTCCTGGCTTCTAATCTACTCCACTCCAGTCATTGTGGTCACTTGAAAGTGAACCAGCAGACAGATCTTTATATCTCCTTCTCTCTGTAAATCTGCCAATAAATAAGTAAATCTTAAATAAATTTTTGAAAAAAAATCTTATTTTTTCCTTCTGCTTGCTTTCAACTTAGTTTGTTGATTATACTGTTTTTAAGATTCATTATGTATTTATTTGTTTGAAAGGCAGTTGGATTCTTCCATTCACCAATTGCCTCCTAAAATGGTCACTGCAGCCTGCCAGGGTGGGGACAGGCTGAAGCCAGGAGCCCTGAAGCCCTTCAGGCTCTTCCACATGGATGGGGGCCAAGCACACTTGGGTCATCTTCCATTGTTTTCCCAGGCACATCAGCAGCAAGCTGGATTCAATTCCAGCCAGCATCAATTTAGGATGCTGGAATTGCAGGTAGCAGGTTAAACCACTGTGCCAATAATGCCTGATCCCTCTAGGAAACTAGAGGATTTTAGGCTTTGCACCTTCAGCTGAGGACAGGAGGGAAAAGCTTCAGCTGGATCATGGCAGCTGGCATTGTCGCCCCTAGTGATGGGACAAAACATTCCGCCCAGCTGAAGCTCTTCCCTCCCAGATTCCAAAAAAAAAAAAAAAAAAAAAAAAACCAAAAAAACCCAATTCCATCTGCTAAATTGAAGTATGTAGCAGAGTATCTTTATACTTCCGTGATTTAGTCATTATCACTTACTATTGACCCTGTTCCTTCCCATAGTCTTGATCATTTTGTGTCCCTTCTATCTTAGAAATCAGACTTCTGATTTCCTGAGGCCCGCTTTGCTGCTTACTAAATTAGGTCCCACAGTTACACTCATTTTATGCTTGGAAGGCATCAGTTGTGTCTGGTATACTTTTGTGAACTTCAGTCTTCCATATGGACAGATGTTTCCCACCATTAACAGTCTACATCCAAATAGTTAGGAAATACATCCATGTTTCTGTGTCTGACTTAAAATGAATGAAGCTGCAAATTACAAATCTATATTGAAAACAAAAACACCAAAACCATTTTACTGAAAACTAATTTTATTTTAAAATTAAGTGCATAGCACTCATCTAATTCCATTTGTGTAGACCTTAGCACCATATGTACTATTTGAAATTCATGTATGCAATAACACAGGTAACATTTTGGTTTGCAGTCTGTACTTAAGTAGTGTTTATTTAATGGACTTTGGTAAAGCCCTTCATACATATAATCTCTTCACAGTACACTTAATGATGGTCCAGTAATCTCGAAACAAAAACAAAACAGCCCAATAAATTAAAAAAACTACACAACATCTCCCCCCACCCCCCAAAGCTAGCAGTTGTGAGCTGTATTTATACTGAAACTTAATGTTTTAAAAATAGTTTTGGTTGTCCAAACACTCCACCCCACTGCGGGTATGCAGCCAGAGTAATCAATTCTTTTATTCTACCCCCTCCCCAAAATATTAATCCAGTGTTCTTTAGTTTTTAAATATAAATTGGGAAATTGTTAATAAACTTTTTAAAAAGGCATATTCTATAACAAGAATGACATATAAACCAATCAATAAAAGCATTTGACAAGACATTAAATTACCACAGGCACTGGTTGTTGTTTCAAGATAGGATCACTATCCTAGTATCTTACATTCATAATATTATTGAGGTAGTTAAAACACTGAAAATCCGGACTCCAGGTTACTGGGTTCTGAATGTGAATGTTACAGATATATTCTCCTTTGAGCCCATTTTTCATAAATAATTCAAGTTTTCTTAATGTAAGAACTACCAAAATCCAATTAGCAGCCCTCCTTTAAAGAGTAAAAGTGATGATTCTTTCAGAAAACAATTTCCATGCCTGAAAACTGCCATGAGTGTCTTACCTGAGTGGTTTTTTTCTTAAATTTTATCTACCAGTACATCGAACATCATGCCTCATATACTCTAAGTTATTTTGTTTTACAAAAGATTACTCAAAGAATTCACGCTGGCAGAAGCCACTCACCCACATCCACCCACTGGAGCCATGTGTGTCAGTCCATCAATACAGTAAGCCCCTTTCCTACCTAACCAAGACTTACTGAGACTCCTGCTGCATACCCACATCTTAAATGCATCTTGTGGCAGTCACTCCCTGCCATGCAAATTCCCTTCTAATCAAGTGCTATCTTTAACAAACACACCTTACTAATGTTTAAACCAGAAAGCTTCCCTCCACCAAATCTCTCATCCCAGATAAGAGCTCAGTGTATACAGTTTACCAGCCATTACAATGATCTTCTTTTACAGTTTATTCCCCAGATGCTTTACAGGAAAATTGTAAAGCATTGCTGTTCTCACTCATTACTGGTACAGTGAGACGTCCCAGGGCAACTGTGGGATAATCCAGTGAGAGCAGCTACTAAGATTTAGTAATCAGTACCCCTGCCTACTCAGAATGAGTAGGTGGATTCAAAGGCTGTATTCAAAGGAACCTGTATTTCACATAAAAAGTGCTGCTGTGGCACACCTGAGAACTACCTTGGCCACACTGCACTTTGATATGAACCTATGCTGCTTTATTCTAGTACTGGTTAGGCCTTTTACAGTTAGGCATTGCCTTGCAAAACATTTGCTTTCGAATGATATCAAATCTGAGTGAAAGTCATTAATTGCACCTAGAAACGCAAAACCAATGTCTGTATTATCAATTGTAGAAAATGCCACTTCATCCATTCTGTGCCACAATATTATGTTCTCATTTGAAAATACATCTTAATAGTAATCTATTATAAAGGTAGTTCATTCATACTGTAACATTTCCAAAGCATGTTGCATTACAGTTAAGTGTTTGCAAGTAGTACAAATTCCCTGAGTTAAATGTGTTTTAAGATTTGAGGTTGATTGCTTAGGGGAAAAAAAAAATCCAAAAAATTATGACCATGATCTTAAGAGATATATTCCACTCTTAATTTTAGCACATAGGATGTTATAAAGAATCATCTAATTTTTTTTTTTCTTTTACCGCACAGGTTGACACAGCATAACAATTCATGAGTTTAAACTTAGTCAAAAATTCATCTGTAGGTCAAAATCAAAACTCAAAATTATAGAATAATAAAAAAGATCTTTTCAAAAATTAATACTGTAACTTTCCTTCATAAAAGGCTGTTTGGCAAGTCCACAGATAAACATCAGTCTTCGACATATAAACCAACATTAGGCCCAGAGCCTGCCACAGGTCAAAAATCTCAAAACAACAAATTAGAATCTGACCAAATTTTCTGTTGAATGTTTTTGAAACATCTGGACCATCAGCCAGGGCTTGACCGTTTCTGTCACTCAGGGACTTGTTGTAACAGGATTTGACACACTGTTAAACTGTGGCAGGATTTGCTCCATCCTCCCAGGATTCAGTGTGCACTGAGAGGGATATTCATTGGTGCTGGTACCTGAAGAGTTCTGGTGTCACTGGGATCCCTTGGCTTGTGAACAGAGGTTTACAAAAAACTTCCCCTAGAGCTTCAAGTCACAAAACAGTCTGGGTCAGTTCCTAACTGCATATAATCACCTCTCAAAGCATGGCGTAATACAAGGGTAATGTTCATTTATCTGGTAACTCCGATTGTAAGATACAGTCAGACAAGGCTTAACTTCTACTGGTATTGCCAGTGACATCCCAACACCAGTCTGCACATGTCCAAGGCCTTGAACACTAGTTTGGAAGCCAGCAGGACACGTCTGTAACGTGTAAGATGAAGTATGTGTTGTAGACACAATCTGCTGACAGCTTGGTTGTTCTGATACAGGATGGCGATATTGCAGTGAGGTCTGTTGGAGATACTGGGGTTGCTGAAAGTGACCTGGCCGTGTAGTCTGGGAGGCTGTCTGGAACACACTTAGCTGTGCTGACTGAGGTCCTGCCTGTCCTCTCTGTTTGTTCGCTTCTTTCACATCATTATCATGAGCACTGAAATATGAAGAGAAAGTATTGAAATGTTATTTGTGAAGAATTTCCAAGAAAATCCCACCCTAACTCATCAATATCTGATTCTGTAAATTACCAGCACTACTTAGGTAGCAGTCAGACACCATAACCCCAGCAAGAGTAAGACCTCACCTGGAACCCTCTAAGAATATTTCCTGTGGGTGAACTTTTTGATAGCTTTGAGGGCTCTTTCTGTCTTGGGGCGGGGGGCGGAATGTAAGTGTGGCTTTGATAACATCCTGGCAGCTGTTAAAATCAAAGATATGGAAATGGGGGACAAAAACTGCCCGCATTAATCTGAATTATGGAGTTACAAGAGCAGTTCCTTTCCTTAGCAGGCACCTAGCATCACAGTAGCAATGATAACTTCTAGCTAACTAACAACCCCAAGAAGCATCCATCCCACCGAGTACTGCCTGTTGCAGGGGATGTTCCTGGCAGCAAGAAGCAGCCAGGAGCAAATACCCTAAGAACTCTGTGCCTCTGAGAGGGCATTTTTAAGGTACCGTATACATGAAGAAACAAACATCTAAATGAGAAATGAAAAACACCATATTAGAAAGGCTTACATCAATAGCCGCTCAATACACTGCACTAAGAAATCCCAAGAGTAGGCAGTGAGACGATGTAGTCTTGTAGGCCATGTTGGAGAAAGACGAAGTATAATCCTTGAAGAAGCCACACAGGCAGCAGCTACTAAAGAAGGTGCATAATTTAGAAAGGCATAATCTGTGGAGACACCAAAAATGAACCTAAGCAACAGAATATACAAGTCATAGGTGCACAAGTCACTTACTGGCATTCACAGCATCTCACCTTGCAAAGACACTTCTAGGAAGTAATCCGCATATTTGGCCATGTAAAGTTTAGTTTTTTCTAAGCAAATCATTGGCCAGCCATCATGAAGATCTGTTTCATGTACTGCTTCAGAAAGGTAATACTCGATGAAATGAGCAGCTGTTGGAAGGCAGAGGTTCCACTGAAAGGTTTCTAAGAGTAATAGTTCCATATGTAGCAAGTTTTGTTTTGTTAACACTAGATTCATGTTTGTCATACAACCCAGGCTGTTGAGCTGTTCCAGCTTAGGCACACTATCTTCTTTTTCTTCAAATTTACCTTGTAAGAAAAGTGGACAAGGGAGAAACAGACAAGTAGTCATTATAGAATGAACCAATTAAATGAGATATGCAGTCTTCTAGCATTTTGATCTAAAGATCTTCTATTCCCAACCTCATGCAGATACAGTTGTGCCAGAACTCGTCACGGTTCTCATACTGATGTTTTTTTTTTCTCAGTGCCTCTGTATTCCACTCCCCCCCCCCCCCAATAAATAGGCTTGGAGCATATAAACACTTAGCATTTCTAATTAATGAGGCAGAGAGAAAGATCCATTGGTTCACGTTTCAAATGCCCACCATAGCTAATGCTGCTTCAGGCCAAAACTTATAACTAGAAACTCAATCTGGGTGTCCCAGGAGGGAGACAGGGAACCTACTTGAGCACTGCCTCCCAGGCTGTGTATCAGCAAGAAGCCATAAGGGAGAACAGAATCAAGACTTAAACCTAGCCACCCCAACAGGGGATGTGGGTATCCCAAGCAATGGCTAAATGTTCAGCCCAGAACACCTGGACATCTGGTATGTGTCTTACTGTATGACAGAAATATGCCATGGTGGGGGGCGGGGAGTGATGAACTTCAAATCTCACTAGCTTAATGTTTTCAGGAGATTTCTTTTAGCAGGGGAGTGGGGGAAGAAAAATTTTGGAGAAGGCCAGTTTAAAGAATTTAATGTCATATGTATATCTGGGCTAAAATGTAGTTCTGTGCTTTTAAGTGTCATGTGGCATATTTTCAGTACAATGCCAATTTCAGAAACAGACTGTGAGGTAAAAATGGAGTGACTATCTAATGCAAATGTTATCATTTCACAAAAAATTCTGTTCCTCCTTTTTTTTTTTTAAAGATTTATTTTTATTATTTTTTATTGGAAAGGCGGATATACAGAGAGGAGAGACAGAGAGGAAGATCTTCCGTCCGATGATTCACTCCCCAAGTGAGCGCAACGGGCCGATACTATGCCGATCCGAAGCCAGGAGCCTCTTCCGGGTCTCCCACACGGGTGCAGGGTCCCAAAGCCTTGGGCCGTCCTCGACTGCTTTCCGGGGCCACAGGCAGGGAGCTGGAAGGGAAGCGGGGCTGCCGGGATTAGAACCGGCGCCCATATGGGATCCCGGGCGTGCAAGGCGAGGACTTAACCACTTGCACCACCGCGCCGGGCCCTGTTCCTCCTTTTTTGAATTTAAAGTAAAAATCTAGTTAAGACTGTTAACAAAAAAGAAGGAAAGAAAAAAGGGGGATACTTAATGCAACATTATTGTGATTTTCCAAATGTCAGTAATAGAAGCAGAGTTGTTTTCAAGTTTTCTTTGGGTTTTTGTTGAGTGGTGGTCCACAGAAGGGAAATTACAGGTAAAGCCTTCTAATTCCTAGTATTATGTCCCATTTTACATTAAGATTCAATTCAATCCTATTATAATTATAAATTTCACACAAAATATGTTTACATTCCTAGTTGTTCAAAATTATTGTTAGACTATTACTAAAGAAACACAAGGCTTCTTTTTTGGGAGGGATGAGTTGGTGCCACATGTTAAAGCTGCTGTAACCCACGGGAGCAGCCAGGATCACTGAGCCTAGATGATCAGTGTAGGAATGGCAGGGTTTGAGCCAGTAGGAGCTTGACCACGTTAACCTGCCCTGGGGCTGAGAGACAGTGTCTTTGATGCCAAGAGATTCTGCACTCATGTCCTAAGAAGAAACTAAGCCTAAAGAAGCAGAAAGCAGCTCTTCTTCTCAGAGAGATTTTAAACTTCAGATCTCAACCATGTGGTAAATTTGGCTACAGACAGGAGCTGACACACAATTATATGTAATTCAGACTTTCAAAAATCTAGATAATCTTTCATAATTCACATCACATAACGGTGAACTTAATACATTTTGTCAAAGCAAAAATGCATTACAGTGGTCTACTGTAACACAGTAATGTAGCACCACTGTTGAATAAAGTATAGGAGATGAATCTACTGTTCCTGGTATAATTAAGTGAAATTCTTTGTAAAAATGACTTGGAAATTTAGTTTAATCCCGCTGGATGAATCATCAGTATTTTCAGAGCACCCTGCCATTTGTATAGGAGCAGTAATACTGGCAGTATACTTCAAAGGGGTATTATAAAAATTAATGAGTTTGCTTGTATCATGCTTGACATTCTTTTGAAGAAATTAATATAACAGAACCCAAAGATTAAGAATGTTTCCTATTCTCTCCTTGAAAATTTCAACAATGAAAATAAAGCTATATAGGATAAATTTCACAGTTCAGGTGGCAAGGGTGGCAAATGAAGCTCTTAAAACAAAGAAAATTGAGTGAAATGAAAAAATGGAAACCAAAAGGAATATTTATGGTCAAATTTCCAAATCTCCTTCTAGACCAAAGTACTGACCCAAGCTATAACAGAACTACCAAAATTGACTTCAGTATTGTTATATATCTATGAGACTTTATATATAAGATATATATATAAGGATTTGGCTATTACAAATGTCTAAGACTTTGCACCTTATTTGCAAAGTTAGAAACCTCATGCTGCACAAATAACTATACTTGCGATTTTAACTCAAGTTCTACGTTTTTTGGAATTCTTAATTATGTATAAGGAAATCAATACTTAAGACACATGAATACGAAAGGATTTCAAACAGTATGATAATGTCAATGAGTACCTGCATACTCAGCTATCTTGTTCTTGTGCTGCATGCTATGTGTGTGTATTTTCAACCTACTTATCCACAACACCATGCACAGACCACAAAGATCAGTCCTTCAGTGGAAAGGAAATACCAGGAAGCATGTGATTATATTGATAAAGGCTCCAAACAGGAAATAAGGGCACAGGAAATTTATATCTCCTTCCCAGAAAATAGAATTAGGGGCCACAGAAAACAATGCACTAGGCTTATAGTATGTTCCCCTATCAGCCATGGAAATTATGGTAAATGTGTGCTAGAAAAGGTTTCTGTTCTGAGGGAAGCATTGATCAGATATCAGTGTGAGTTCTGCCAATCCATATTCTGTTCTACTGTTATTAAGTGGGGAAGTCATCATCCTTAACAGACACCAAGAATCCTTATAAATCTCCAAGGAGTGATTCATACAAAAATTAAACTAAGCTCATCAAAAACTGACGTACATATCAAGCCAACTGTGAGACACAATTGTTCAACTATTAGGGGAAAAAGTAAAAAGGTTTGCTAACCCAGTATGATGAGCTTCATTTTCAAGAATGCTTCCATACTCTTCATAAATTTAATGCTAGTCACAGCAGCCAACAGAAACCAGGGTATACATGTGAAAGAGTTGGAACACAACAGTTTCCCAGGACAAATCAGAATCCATTTTAGAATAGCCTAGAAGCCTGAGGGACAATAGGAGAGAGAGAGGGAGGGAGGGAAGGAGAGGGGAAAAGAAAGAAAAAGCACAAACTCTCTTCTATCTGCTGGTTTACTTCCCAATGGCTGTAAGAGCTGGGGCTGGGCCAAGCTGAAGCCAGGAACTGGGAACTCATCTAAGTTTTCCATATGGATGGCAGGAGCCCAGGTACTTGGTTCATGTTCCATTGTTTTCCCAGGTGCAGTAGCAGGGCACTGCATCAGGAGTGGAGCAGTTTGACTAGAACCAGTGCTCACTTGGGATGCCAGCATCACAAGCAGTAGCTTAACCTGTGTGCCACAACATTGGCCCCTCTGATGTGTTTTTGAAGACTTTGCCCCACTTAATCCTCACAACTTTTTAAGTGCTTATATTTCTATTGAGGCTCGAGGGTTAAGTTTATTCTGTTAAAAATATAAATACAGGAAATTCATTACTATAGTCATTATTCTGAAATAGCACATGCCACTCTAATCAGAGATCTTCTGTAGGCCTTTTCTTACTGTCTTTAAATGTACAAAACTCAACGACTGGATAAAAAACATTACATGGAACTTACAAACTTTTTTATCTTCGGCCAAAGTTCCTGCAGTCCCCTTGCCTCTTCCAAAACTGGAAACCATCAGGCATCCAGTTCTCATCTGTAGCCTGTCTTTTCCCTTTATGTAACTGGACACCTATACCAGAGCAGTTTACGTCTGAGAAGTATTACCTGAGTAACACTTATGACAGCTATGTTCACAAGGTAATTGGAGAGCTGCCATTTGGTATCCAAATGTAGAGTATAAGAATGTCAGCAACACTAGAATTGATTCTAGAGATTAAAACAGCACACACTGAAAGCAGGCTAGCAATTGATAAGCACCCTGTGCTCCTTCTTTGAGTTAGAGATGGAGTGGAGAGACTGCTGCCAAGATCCCTGACCTCAAACTTGTTTGCTGCCGACCTGACTCAGCTGAGACTGTGGAGGCTATCTCACACACGTGCTCACTCCAGTGGAAGAGACAGAAGGCAGAAGCAATTCTCAGGGAGAAAGGGTTAGTGGGTAACAAAGGGAGGTGGCAGCTAGCCCCCTCAGTACTAGATGATAAAGTTTATATTTAAACCACAGCAAACACAGATTCTAAAATCTGGAAAGTGTACCAAAAATTACCACATATTACAAGTTAAACCACTTAATCTGTACAGATTAAACTACTTAAAATAAACTGAGCATGACCATAAATAAATGGAAATATACACATCTGAGCCAGAACAATTGAAAACTATTCCAGTTAATCTGAGATGACACACAAATCAAATAGTCTTTTTCAAAACTGTGAAAACTGTAGGAACTTGGCACCACATGGCAGACAACTCTCAATAAACATTGATGGTAACTGATGAATATCTGGTTAAGTAGCCCTGTTTCATTTAGGAGGTAGTGGTAAGTAAACGTTGGTCATAAATCTTAGTCAATCTATGAAATGACTATTCATTATTCATTACTTTACAGTTCCTAGAGGCACCTCCCCCTTGGTTCATATGCCACTGTTAAGAGCTGTAGGCATTGTGCAGGCAGAACCTAGCACTGACAGTAACAGCTGTAGCAGGTAAGGATCTTCCACTAACGATACCGAGTTTCTGAAATAACCTAATTTATGTGTCTAATTGCTCATGTCACTCTCTAAATTGGACCTATAATTAGCTAACATTCCTTAGAAGAAAAAAAGCCATTTCATTTATGGAGTCTCACACATCTCGCCTGTCAAGAATGGGTTCTTTCAATCTTACACAAATATTAAAGCCTAAAGCACTTAAAAGCTAATGATCTCACCCACAATACTGCATATATGATTATTACTTGTAAGCATGAAACTTTAAAGATTTTGCCAATGTGCAGGCAATGGGTTTGGATCTTAGCAATTAACTATTTTATTTGGATTTCCTGCCCCTACCCCACCCAAAGCCAGACTGCGGGTAAGGTAAATAAAACACAGCCACATTGATGGCTTCCCACTGTCTGTTTTAAGTTAGAAGCTGCTTAATGTTGCATTTAGAACCTTTCATCTGGACCTAACCATCTTTCCATTCACATCATCCAACCTCTATCCCAAGGAAATGTAGGTATTCAAGAATCAGGTGGTAGTGTAATAATTCAGCTCAAGGTACACAGAAATAGGGGTTGGATGAGGTAGTTTACATGTAGTCTGGTTCTACAGGTGATCTGAAATGACTTATAAAAAAAGATTCAGGGAGACAAAGTAAGTAGATGTCATGGATCAAAGGAAGACTAAAAGAAACAGAATCCAAAGAAAACTAATACCAGAAATGATATGACTACATTCAGTTTTAGGCTTATTTGCGAACAAAACACAAAAGTTTTCTAGATGGGGATATGAGGAAAATGTCACTTAGATAACATCCTTATTGGATTCCTAAATCCTCCCCAGGTGGTTAATAGGTAAAGGTTAGGGCCCAGTGGCGTGGCCTAGTGGCTAAAGTCCTCGCCTTCAATGTGCCAGGATCCCATATGGGCGCCAGTTCTAATCCCAGCAGCTCCACTTCCCATCCAGCTCCCTGCCTGTGGCCTGGGAAAGCAGTGAAGGACGGCCCAAAGCTTTGGGACCCTGCACCCGTGTGGGATACTTGGAAGAGGTTCCTGGCTCCTGGCTTCAGACCCGCATAGCATCGGCCGTAGCGCTCACTTGGGGAGTGAATCATCGGACAGAAGATCTTCCTCTCTGTCTCTCCTCCTCTCTGTATATCTGACTTTCCAATAAATAAATAAATCTTCAAAAAAAAAAAAAGGTAAAGGTTAATATGCCTGTATGCTACTTTAAAATAGGGCTAAATTTCTATCATAATGCTGTAGATAACATGAAAACTAAATTTATTGACTCAACTTCAGTACTAATCTTTTCACATTACTGAAAGAAGAAATACTCAATTTTTGGGCCTGTCGCGGTGACCTAGCAGCTGAAGTCCTTGCCTTGCACACTCCAGGATCCCATATGGGCTCTGGTTCTAATTCCAGCAGCTCCACTTCCCATCCAGCTGCCTGCCTGTGGCTTGGGAAAGCAGTCGAAGACGGCCCAAAGCCTTGGGATCCTGTACCCACGTGGGAGACCTGGAAGAGATCCTGACTCTGGCTTCGGATGGCTCAGCTCCAGCTGGTCACTTGGGGAGTAAGCCATCGGATGGAACTTCTTCTGTCCTCTCTGTTTATCTGAATTTACAATGAAAATAAATAAATCTTAAAAAGTCCAGTGGTATATTCTGCTTGGGTGACAAATCTGGCTGTGTCAGGGTCTCTATCTTGAAAGCCCTCTAACAGTCCGTCATTGCATAAGCAGGTGTTCATAAATCTGCAGCACTTTCACACAAACTGTTTATTAAACTAACTCATCATAATCATCTGTGGGACTTGTAACAAAAATTAAAAGATTTCTTGGGCCCTATTATGTAGATTCTAACTGAACAAGTCTGTGTTGACCAGGGCATTTTTATCAGAATCGTTCAGATGTGGGGCTTAGGAACAGGTTTCTAAGACTCCATAGTCACTTTCTCATCTTTAATATCTGGTTAAGAATTAACGTGCTGGGGCTGGCACTATGGCATAGTGGGTAAAGCTCTTGTTTGTAGTGCTGGGGTGTAATAGGGCTCCAGTTCAAGCCCTCCCTGCTCCTCTTCCAATCCAGTTCCCTGCTTATGGCCTGGGAAAGCAGTAAAAGATGGCCCAGATGCTTGGTCTCTGCATCCACTTGGGAGACCCAGCAGCAGTACATAGCTCCTAACTTTGGTCCAGCCCTGGCCTAACAGCCATCTAGGTGGTGAACCAGTGAATGGAAGATCTCTTTTTGCCCAACCCAACTCCCTGTAAAACTGCTTTTCACATAAACAAAACTTAAAAAAAGTATTGTGCCAAGGAGCACTTTCAACATAACCTTACAAATAGTAAACTAGAATGAATGAAATTTGGTGGTACATCACAGAGCTCTACATAAATTTGCACTAATATATAACTAATGCGAAACTCCAGCCATGTCAATCATGTTCATACTTACTTGCCAGAAGCAGACAGGAAAGAGCCACTAGATGCAGCTGCTGAATGGAGATGTCATAGCGATCCATAAACAGGTCCAGCAGATAGACGGCAAGGTGTCGAGCAGAAGGGCAGAGTGTGAAGCGATTGCTTACAATGGCAATCAAGTCAGCAAAATACCGCCTGAGACTCAGCTGAGGCGACTGGCCTTTGTAAGAGGGCAATTTCAGCTCCTAAATCAAGGGGAACAATGTTTAGTCTGACATCTGCAGACATATCCTCAAAATGCAAAGATTTAACACTGATTTCCCAACACAGGTTGAGATCCCAAACCCAAAACCCCAAATCTAAAACTTTTTGGCTCATTGGTGCTAGCTAGATTTTGGAGCATTTTGGATTTTGCTGTTAGGGTTGCTCCATGGGGAAAGTCTATGCAAATCATCTAGCATCCTAAAAACTCTGAAATCTGAGACTTTTGGTCCTAGGCATTTCAGCATGTGGGGGGATGCAGGAGATGAGCCAACGGGACTTTCGTGTAACAAAAATATTGTATTCTCAGGGGGCTGAAATTTAGTCGGGGTGTCCAAGAAACTGAATACCGGAAATGAACAGCAGTTAGAAATCTGAAGTCAAAAAGGGTACAGTTGTGGCAAGTCACATTTCCTAATCTACTTAATCTTATCAGAATCTGAAGCTACAAGTTTCTTATCAACCCAGGATCTTAACCCTCTTTATAGGTCAGCTGCTTTGCTTCTTTCTCAATTTTCTGCACTTAACGAATGGTTCTCTCTTTCCAAGGTCAAAGTGAGTTAAGCTAGAGTTGATTTTGGATCTGGTCTTCCTTGTCATCAAAAAAAAAAAAAAGAGCTCTCCCATTAACCTGTCTTGTACCGCACAGGATAAAATAGTTCCTGCAAGAATAACAACACACAGCCTTTGATTCTAGGAGCGCAGAGCAGTGAACTCCTGCTGCCTTAGGGCTTTCAGAATAGAAGTAACCTCTTGAGGGTAACAGAACAGTTATCACTTGGTTCTCACTCTTCAGAGCTCATATCCAGTGCTAACTTAAAAAAAAAAATTTCATCGTCACCCCCAGAGTGTATGCTGTTACTACTATTCCTGTTCGGAAATTGAGAAAAAGAAAGTAACCTGTGCAAACTCTCACGGCCAGTTCATAGAGGCCGGGGAACCTGGTTATGTTCAAACACGACTTAGCCTGTAGCTGCATACAACGGCAACATTGAGTGTATACAGCTCTTCAAACACAAGATCCAACCCACCTCCTGTCTGGAATCAAGAACATCACCTTCCTTCTCGCAACCACCACACCCCACCCCCATCCTCATTTCAGTTGCAGGTTCTTCTGATACATCCCTGGGAGAGAGCCCAGAAGTTAATTAGCCTTGAGCAAAAACGAAAACTCGTCCTGTCGGATCTGGAAAAGTAATGACTAAGAACCCGTTCGGTTCTTTCCAGGAAGCCAAGACTCACGATAAACTGGCGGTGGGTTTACCTTGTACCGAAGCGCTTGGTGAATATCCGCAGCCAGCTGTCCTCGCCACCACTGCCCCTCCAGCTCCATGGGACCCGGCGACGCGCCCGGCCAGACGCGATTAGTTCGGTCTGGAAGACACAGCCCAGACGCGGTCACTGCCAGCTCCTTCCCCTGCGACCCCGGGTGCGCCCTCCCCGAGGGGTGGACCTCAGGCCACCCGGGGTGCTCGTCCGTCTTCCTCGGGCTCGTCTGAAACCCTGCCCGATCCAAACCAACTCCCCAACGCCTCGCCCGGGAAGAGCTGGTTTCTGCCGGGGAAGCGGCCCACCAGGAGCCGGACAGAATGAGGTCAATCACGGTCCTACTCTACCCATGTGCCGACCTAGGTGCAAGTTCGCGAAAAGCGGGAGGGAAAGGCCTGGCGTCGGGCTCCAGGAGTTCTGGGTTCGAACTCTCCCGCCGACCCTGAGGAGCGGTGAGACTTGACACCAAGCCTCGGCCCCGCCTGAGGGGAAGCGCTTCCCACAGAGGAGCCCGAAGGCCGCCGACCGCGGGATTCTCGCAGTGGACAGGCCGGCGCTCACTCCTCCCCGGGAGCACGCCCAGCCCGCAGAGGCGAACAAAAGACCGGGCCGGCCGGGCTCCACGCCTCGCCCCGGAGGGATCGGTGCCCCGCGCCCAGCCAGGCCTGCCCGGCTCCACTGCAGCTCCCTTACCCGGAACCGCGGCCTTCACAGCCCCAGCCCCGCCAGCGTGCGGGGGACGCCGGCCCCGCTCATGCTGCGGACAGTCGGCCGCGAAGCGCCGGCCTCAGCTCGGGCCCACCGCCGGGGAGACCGCTTCGCCCATTGTTAAAGGACCGGCAGGCGGCTCCGCGTACAAAGCCAGCGCCAGGGCACATGCAGCCCTGCGCTGCCAATCTCGTCTCGCGATACAGCGGGGTCGCCCCGAGTCGTCCAATCGGCGGCCTGCCGGGCCCAGGTGCAACGCCCGGCGGCGGCGGCTGCTCGGACCAGGGCAAACCCCGACGGCGTCCTGGGCGGTGGGAACCCCGCCACCAGCTAACTGGGAACCGGCCTGCGGGCGGACTGTCTGGAAGGGGGCGCCGGGGAAATTACAGCGTTGATCACTAGGTGGCCAATCCGGTCAGGTCGCTCACCTGTTGAGAACCTACAGTGGCTCCTCGGTGCCTGCTGAGGAAAGCCTCACCGTGCTGTTTAGAGAAGCCCTTCCCGGCGAGGGTTCAGTCCATCTCGTCTTGCACCTCCACGGATGGATCATCGGGCCTCCCAGATGGGATTTAGCTGTTTCTCCAACCTCAAATGTGCGTTCTCGGTGAAACCCATCTCTCCTAGAAACCTAGTTTATCTCTTCCCTTCCCTTTCCTTTGCTGTAGAGATCCCCAAGAGCTTTGAATCAACGGAATCTAGACTATCTTTAGTAACTTGGTCATATTCATCGTGCATAAAATTAGCCACTTGTGGTCGTAAAACCGGAAACTGCCAAACTGCAAACACTCCAACATCAATTAATGCGGTGTGCCGGAGCCGAAATGCGACTCACAGAATCTAACCAATTAAAATGTGTTTGAATGTGCTTAGTCTGTGATACCCACTTAGTGATGCCCACTTACTTCTGAGCCTGCAGATCAATTTGCAAAAATAAACCGTGGGCCCACTTTTGAGTCTTTTGTCGAAAAAAAGCAAAATAGTAAAGTACTATACCAGCGTGATGTTACATGAATACATGAATCCTTTTTGTTTTTTTCAATCACATTGGCATCTTCATACATTTGGAAAGTAGCAGCAGGCATGTATGGATGTGAGCATGCTTCATGCTCCGGAGTGCAGCTACAGCAACCAAGGGCAAGGAAAGGGAAACACGGAAACAGGATCTGACCAAGCCCACAGTTGCCCAGGGAAAGGCTGCCCTGGCCTAGTTCAGTGGCAGAAATCCCCTAGGGAGGATGGATACAGGAAGCTACACGCTCCATGTCATTTGTCATTAATGATGTTTAAATAGTACATACCTCCTCGGGTTCCAATTCATGATGCCTAAGCAACTTTATGACAATCTTTTGGCTTCCAAATGATATAAATGTCCAGTGCCCATTTAAGAACGTTTATGACAAAATGGGCTGAAAGACTATAATAATCACTGTAATGAGTAGTTTGTCAGGGTATCAGCTTTAAAGATGCTGTTCAGAAATCTTTATTCTTTTCTACATTTGCCTCATGATAAAAAGACTTTAATATGTACTTCTTTTATACATTGCATACATATCTGTATGTATATGTAAATAATATTTCCCCAGTGTGTCTTAGATCATAAATCTCTGAAAAGCAAAATTCAGGTTTATTATGATTCCTTTATTTCTTCAGAGAAAGTTGGACACAGTTAACATGCAGGTTGATCTGATCGGAAATGCTTCAGACCAAGGTGATTTGGATTTTTTCAGATACTGGAATAAGAGTGCTTGCATACACATAGTTATCTTAGATATTGAACCAGAATCTAAACACAAAATTCACCTATGTTTAATATATATCCTTTTTTTTAATTATTTTTCTCAAAAAGAGTCATGAGTCCTAAAACTTAAAAGAGGCAGAATGTATTCCGTATGTTGTTATAAACACACAAGAAAAGAGACAATGTGGGGAGGAGGTGGAAGAGAAGGGAGGGGAATGGAAGGCTAAGAAGATAAGTAGTAGTGTATCATATATATTTTTTTAAGATTTATTTATTTTTATTGCAAAGTCAAATATATAGAAGAGGAGAAACAGAAAGACTTTCCGTCCGATGATTCATTCCCCAAGCAGCTGCAACAGCCGGAGCTGGGCCGAGCCAAAGCCAGGAGCCAGGAGCCTATTCCAGGTTTCCCATGCGGATGCAGAGTCCCAAGGCTTTCGGCTGTCCTCAACTGTTTTCCCAGGCCACAAGCAGGAAGCCAGATGGAAAGCAGGGCCACTGGAATTAGAACTGTCACCCCTATGAGATCCTAGCGTATACAAGGTGAGGACTTTAGCCACTGAGCTACTGTGCCAGGCCCAGTATCATATATATTTTAAATATATAGCCCAAAGGCAAATTCATACCACATTTTTAGTGTGCTTGCATTTTATTTTTTGTTTGAAAGAGTGACACACACACAAACACACACACACACACACACACGCACACACACACAAATACACATGAATCTTGCATTTGCTGATTCACTCTCCAAATGACCACAACAGCTGGGACTGGGCCAGGCCAAAACAATGAGCCTGGAAATCAATCGTGGTCCCCCCACGTAAGTGACAGGGATCCAAGTGTTTGAGCCATCATCTGTTGCCTCCCAGGGGTGCATGAATAGGAAATTGGATCAGAAGTGGAAGCAGATTCTAGTACAGATACTATGATGCGACTATCTCTAGCAGCAGCAGCTTAGCTACCATGTCAGGACACTTATCCCTACATTTTGACTGTGATCTGTTGTGAGAGCAAGTGTGGAATGTACCACTTTTGACACAGTATTGACATTTACATTTTCAGATCTGGGATTTTCAGATTGGGAGTACTCAGTTTCTAAATAAAGTCTCTGTTCTTATTTATGTTCTATGAGGAGAGAAAATCAATAAATGAACAACAACCCAAAAAATGTCAATGAGTGACAAGTGTTGTGAAGAAAAATTTAAAAAGAGAAAGGCCTTGGGATCCTGCACCCACATGGGAGAGCTTGGCTCTTGGCTTCAGATTGGCTCAAGATGTTGCAGCCATCTGGAGAGAGAACCAGTGGATAGAAGATCTCTCTCTCCTTTTCCCTGTAAATTTACCTTTCCAATAAAAATAAATAAGTCTTTTGAAAAGAGAAAGGGCCCAATATGATGGCTCAGTGACTAAATCCTTGCCTTGCATGTGCCCGGACACTATTTGGTTTTTCAGCTGCTCCACTTCCCATCCAGCTCCTTGCTTGTGGCCTGGAAAGGCAGTAAAGGATGGCTCAAAACCTTGAGACCTTTCACCGGCATGGGAGACCTAGAAGAAACTCCTGGCTTTGGACTTGCTCAGCCCTGGCTGTTGCAGCTACTTGTGAAAGCAACTCTAAAATCTTTTTTTTAAAAAAAGATTTATTTTTATTGGAAAGGCGGATATACAGAGGAGAAACAGAGAGGAAGATCTTCCATCTAATGGTTCACTCCCCAAGTGGTGGCAATGGCTGGAGCTGAGTCAATCTGAAGCCAGGAGCCTCTTCTGGGTCTCCCATGCAGGTGCAGGGTCCCAAGGCTTTGGGCTGTCCTCAACTGCTTTCCCAGGCCACAATCAGGGAGCTGGATGGGAAGCAGGGCCACTAGGTTTAGAACTGGTTGCCATATAGGATCCAGGCATGTTCAAGGTGAGGACTTTAGTCACTGAGCTATCACACTGGGCCCAAGCAACTCTAAAATCTTGAAAGACTACATATAGAGCTATCTGAAGATATTAAATAAGGCATATTCTTTCTCCAGAATACCTTGGTTTGGACACAATCAGCCTTAAATCCATAAATTGACACCAGGGTAAATACAGAGAGCAAAGGAATGTCCCTTTTATAAGGAGGAACTTCCAGCCTCTCTCTCTTCTGCCTCCCTTTTCCCCCTTCATCTCTGCACCCCTCCTCCCCTTTCTCTTTCACTCCCTCTCCTCTCCTCTTTCTCCTTCCAGCTCCAGGCACTTCCGCAGCTCAGCAGTGGTGGGAGTTTCCCCACAGAGCGGAGCTGCCTATCTCATTAGAGCAGCTTTTTATCTCACTGTTTCTCGCACTGCTTCACTCAGGATGAGTATGCTGAGAGGGATACCTTACCCCGGCTTTATGGAAAACTACTACTGGGGAGATTATGAAGAGAAGGAGGAGCTTTAGAAAGGATCTTACAAAGTTTATGAACAACAGAACTGAGCTCCAGCTGTGCATGTGTAAGTCCACTTTGAAAAGACTAGAAATAATGAGAACGGTTTAGACTGGCCACTAAGAAGCACATATGCAACAGATCTGAGTAACACTGAAAGGTTTTGAAAATGGAACTAAAATCAAAACCACAACTAGGAAAGGTTGATCAGAATGTGTACCCTCAACCTAAACAGATTAATCCAATGCTTAAAAACAAAACAAAACAAAAAAACCTCAGCAGTCTCTGATATTCAAATGGCTTAGGATATGATCGAAAGTTACTCAATATATGAAGAACAGGGACAAATCCCAAATCTCATGGGAAAAGACAGTCTACAATCAGTAGACCCCAACACTAAGATGACAAAGAATTATCTGACAACACTTTAAAACAATTACTAGAAGTACTTTTTGAAGAACAGCAAACTTTGTTGAATTTAAAGGCAGAATGTTTTCAAAGA